AAAAATGTCATTAAAAAGAGAAAAACAAGTGAGGATGTTAAGTGATTTGGATACAATTAAAACATGTGATTTTCTTGCAAATGAACTGTTTAAATATTTACAAAAAAATTGTTATTTATCATTTTTTGATGACAATATGGATGTTAAAAGACAAATTGATGAAATCACTGAACGAAATGATGGATCTGTTGTAAGTGAATATAAAGAATTATTTACTAATCTTATTGAAGCGTATGGAGAAGGAACTCCAACAGCAGCAGTTGCACAAATGTGTCTTGATTCAGTGAAAGAATTTGAAATTCAATATATTATGCCTGATGATAATAGTAAAGAAAGAAGAAGAGAAGGAAGAGGTCTTCTTGATGGAGAAACGACATTAAAAAAGAAGAAGATTGAAAATCTCATTGGGAAATTTGCAAAACGTATTATTATGGAAGATAAATACAAAACTCTTGATGACCTTAAAAGTGAAAAAACATTTTTGATTAATAGAAAAGATGAGATAGAAAAAGAGATTGCAAAATTAACAGAAGAACTTAAAGATTCAATTGAACTTATCTCACCTGAACCAATAGATAAAATTGAACGAAAAGATTTTAAAGACCCATTCTTTTTTAAAAAGAATAAAATAAAAAAGAGTAAAAAGGTTGATGACAGTTCATCTTTTCAACCACCACCTATAAATTCAGCATTATTGGATACTGTTGATGAATCAATTCCAGAAAGAAGTAATGACGAACTTCGAAACGTTGTTCAAAAAATGATGAATATGAATGGAAGTCAACTTTTAGAACTTAAAAACATTATTGACGCAAATGCTGACGAAACTGTTAAATTTGATCTTAATAATCTTTCTGATGATACATTTAAATTAATGAAAAACACTATTATGAAATCTCACTAACTTAAATAATTGTTATCTGTTTTATTAAGTTATATTTTGTTTTTTATAACATATTATTTTTAATTTTGAAAAGTGATTAATAAAATGATTTATAAAACAGAAAAATTCAACTCATTACCCCAAAGAATAAGTATTTTTAGAAATATAAAAATAGAATGAACTTGAAATAAATTAAAAAAGAAAGACAGGAGGAAAGATGAAAATGAAATAAAAATAGAAAGAAGTTCTAAAAAAAGAATAAGAGAGTAAATAAGATTTTAAATAAAATATAATGTAATTTCCAGTCTATTTTACTAAAAAGAATGAGTTTTAGAACAAGGATTATTTTATAAGAATGAGGCAAGCATCCTCTTAATCAAAAATAAAATTATTCTTCTTTGAAAATGTAGATGATAATAATGTAAATGTTTTTCTATACAGAGAATAAGAGTTGTTTATATAAAGAAAAAAATAAAAAGACTAATAAGACATCAAAAAAAAAAACTTGGATTGATTATCGTTCCAGAAAAACATGGTCGATACGAAAAAAAAAAATAAATAACTAAACTCTATTTTTATAAAAATGAAAAGAAGTGTTTTGGAAAATAGATACCCCTGATATATAAAAAACACAGTCATATTTAAATAGAACAACAATCTTTTTAATAATCAGTCTATGTCAACTGTATATCGTGAAATGAGAAATTACCAAGTATACCAACAAGCTCTTTTTCTTGGAATTTTAAACCAATCTAGTTCTATGATTATTCAAAAACCAATTAAAAAAGCTATTGTTACTCAACAACTTGTAACAGTAAATTCATTAAAATTCTCAGGAGATGATCAAATTGCAATTAGTGACTTAATTGAACGAAGATGTAAAGAAATGATGAAATTAGATCTTTCTAATGGATTAAGAGAAAAGACTGCTATTAGAAGATATGAAACAAATAAAGTTACAGAAGTTCTTCATCTTTTAAGTGATATTCTAAATGAGTTTGGATTTACATTTAGAACAAGTAAAACAACTGGAAAAAATAAATCTGCAATAGCAGAGACTGTTAATGTTATGTATTTTAAAGGACGTAAGGCTTATTCTAGACAACAAATAACTCAAATTGGAATGAAGATTAATCAATATTTATATGAAAAATGTGCTGAAGGTGATGGGAATACTATCATTGAAAGAAATGACCCAATCATACATGAGTTATTAGTAGGAAAAAACCCAATTACTGTTAGTCAAAAATTATGTTTATAATTCAACATTCATTTTCTTGTTACACAGTATTAATAAATTTATTAAAAATAAACATATTCTAGTATATTTGAATATATATATATTATATGTCATGATTATCAAAAATACAAATAACGTTGATATTCTTTGTTTTTCACATATAGTTATTTTTTTATTTATAAAAGAAATATGTTATATATAACAACTATAAAAAATAAAAGAGAAATTATGAGGAAAAATAATCAGGTATAAATGATGTGTAAATTTTTTAGAATATAATGTAAGGTGATAATGATAATATTTGTCAAGCATAAGTCATTGAAATAAGTTTAAAATCATTTTTTCTTAAAAGGAGTGATTGGTTAGAACCAATTCTTTCAACAAGGTTAATACAAAGTGTTTGTCCAATTTTTTCTAATTGAGAAGAAGTAAAAGTTTCTCCATCTTTTTGAATACTAGTAATAGTATCAACTTTCAAAGTCTTATTTCTTCCACTGGTTTCAAAAAAGGTAATACAATAACCTAATTCTATTAGTAAATCAACTACAAAATTGATAGACTCTTTATAACTATTTTTCTTTTTTCTGTATAAGGCAGATTGTTGAGTTATTTTATGTTCTACATCCAACTCAGCTAAATCTGAGGTTCTTTTTTTTATTAATTTATTTAAGTCAATAACATCTTCAGAAGTAAAGATTATTTTATTTATTTTCAAAAATGGTAATGTTAACTTTGAACGTTTAGATGTAATTTTAATCTCTATATCTGCATGTCTGTTAATTAATGCAATACATAATGCACGTACTTTAGACTGATAATTTCTTTGTTCAATGTATGTTTTCTTATCCATCAACAAAAATACCTTTTCTTTTTAATAGTTTCTTTTCAAAAAAAATATGTTTTGGATAGTATATTTTTTTCATTTCTTTACTGTAACTTCAATTATTTCTCGTTATTATATATTTTTAAGACAATGCAAAGTTATGTGATAACTATTGATACGATTAAAATTACAACTCTTTGCTTTTATAAATTCTTTTTGTTCCTTTTTTCTTTATTTTTTTATAAAGGTGTTTCCTTTTTGCGGTGTTAACAACATAATAACAAAGAAAAAATACCAATAAATTTCGTTCCGAAATCCATTAAATTGAAAATTACCTAATTAAAACCTATATATAGGTTTTTTCGACAATCCATAATCTGATTATGGTAGTATAACTCAATTAATTTACAAAAAAAAGAGTTTCTTGTTTATTATTTAATAAAATAATGAATAAAAATAATTTTACTATTTTTCTTTTTATTACGCCATATTTATATAAAAAAATTCAAAAAAATTCCAAACTTGAATGAATTAATTTATTTTGGTTAAAACAATAGCAACTCTGCAAGGAATATAAATTTGAATTTGATTTGGTAATCCATCACATTCAATTGGTTGAGAGACATATTCTTGAGAAGTAATTCTATCATATCCTCCAAATTCTGATGAATCAGAATTTAATATGATTTTATATGTTCCTGGTTCTTTTACTCCAATTCCATATCCTGTAAAACTCTTTTCATAATGGAAATTAAAAACTCCAATAACTTCACCTCGTTGGAAAGCTAAAACATGATCCCCTTCATTATGTTTTGAAATATAAGCATTTGGTTTATTTAACCATGGATATTGATCTTCTAAATGAAGCATTTCTCTCTCAAAAGCCAATAAAAATTTATATCTTAACAAATGGTCTTCAACCAAATTATATTGTCTTCTACAATAATGGAATGAATCACCATTTCCTTCTCTTGGGAAATCAAGCCATTCAGGATGTCCAAATTCATTTCCCATAAATGTCAAATATCCTTCTCCTCCTAACATACATGTTACTAATCGAATCATTTTATGTAAAGCAATTCCTCTATCAATAACTAATGATGGTTGCCATAAACATGACATTCCAGTGTACATTTCTTTATCCATTAACCAAAATGAAATAGTTTTATCTCCAACCAATGCTTGGTCATGACACTCTGCATAAGCAATAGCTTTTTCTTTCCATCTTCTATTATTTAATACAAATCCAATATGGTTTACATTCCAATCTTCATCTTTCTTTGTTTTTAAATATTCTATCCAAAGATCTGGACATGACATAGCAAGTCTATAATCAAATCCAATTCCTCCATCCTCAAATGTTCTACATAATCCTGCATATCCTGATACATCTTCAGCGTATAGTAACACAATTCATACTTTT